TTTGAACACTTTTGTGAAAATGGGCCTTAAATGAATCTTTTAGCAAAATTGGGCCATTTTTGACAAATTCGGTATTTTTGGCCATGTATGACATTTTTGTTAACCATGGGCCTCATTTGATAAATTTTAGATAAAAATGGGTTATTCATGACACATATGATAAAAATGGAATAATTTGGCAATATAACCAACCGTATATTTTACGACAGGAATTATTGCATATCACAAAATGCAGTTGTAAATATACACTATTAACGTTATTTATAATATTAAATAACGGGATCAACTATTTACGTAAATTTCTGTTAGGACTCTTGTGAGACGCACCTTCACCGTACCTATTTTAGTGTACATCGTAAGTCCTGTAGTTATAACCAGAGTCTCTTAGAGGGGGAGCGGGAGTTTGTGTATAGATCTATACGGGGTTGACATCCTACACCTGAGCTGCTCGCTACAGCTACACCGGCCAGTCTAGGGTGACAAATATCCTATTAGAAACCGACGCCTGAAGAACGTCAAGACAGACACTCCGTCATATTAGTATGGTTATAACGACTCGCATAGAGGATAACAAAAGTTAACTTAAAATTTATGCGAGATACATAATCAACTTGTAACAAAATATGTGTCGACTATTTTGTAACCAATTTCACTACTCCGGTCTTAGTGTTTTAAGACCACCACTTTTGCATAACAGAAAATATTGGATTTTCTGGGAATACTCATTATATGATATCAAACAAGGAAAAACAAGAAACACATATGCAATTATACATGATTTGAAAACAAGACTCACAAACCATTTTTTTTTACAGAAAATATTGGATTTTCTGGGAGTTACAAACTATTACAAAAGTTTTCACACAAATATGCTTATGAACTCACTAACATTCTGTGTTGACATTTTTAAAATGACTTGTATTCTCAAGAACACAGTGAGCAGGTCCTTTTCAGCTATGGGTGATTGTTGTATTTTGATTTCATCATACATTTTGTTGTTTTGGGATGTATTAATTTCATGAACAAACACAATGTTGTAACAATGAATGTTGATATCATGAATGTATGATGATGATTGTCACACCCCCGGTCAAGGCCGCGGAATACGCCAGGCTGTGCGACTTAGTTCATGGATTACAAGCAAATTGAATATACATCACAAGTTACAACGATAACAACATAGCAGTTAAATTACACTTTAAGGTTTGAATACAAGGTTCATAATAATAAATTCATAAATTTGCCTCAACAGATAGGCCGATATAACAAAAGCTTGATAAAACTAGGTCGCCAGAAATTCATGACTAATCTTCTGACTGAAAGCTCGTTTGGTGATACCCTAAGAATACATGAAATTTTGAGGGTCAACACAAGGTTGGTGAGAGTTTACAGTTTTTCAGCTAACTGCAGTAATGATACTTTAAAAGACTAAAAAGTATTCCTTTTGTAGTTCAAAACATATTTGGAAATGTTTGATAAAAGAGAGATTGTAAGTAATTTCATACTTAAAATATTTGATAGACAGAGTAATCATAAGTAAATCCGTACTTAAAATGTTTGGTAATCAGTGAAACCGTGAGTAAATCCGTACTCAAAATGTTTAGTAATCAGGGTAACCGCGAGTAAATCCATACTCATCAAAATGTTTGGTACTTAGAGAACCGTGAGAAAATGCATACTCAAAATGTTTGGTACTCAAAGAACCGTGAGTAAATCCATACTCAAAATGTTTGATAATCAGAGAAACCGGATCCGTGGTTTCTAGATTATGAGATCTAGTTAATGCTTATAGTGAGTCCTATAACCGAGCTATGTGACTGTACCTACCCCTACGACTCTTCATTGGACGTCGTAAAACTGTTTTAGATATTTATCACCTGCTTCGATTGATCGGTCGAGGTTGTAGCTAGCAACCACCGGTGGGGGTGTCAACCAGTATAGATCTATACATACGTATCTCAACTCCGAAGATTAATGGTTATAGTGGTGTGGGTCTTCTAAGTGTTTGTTTACACTTAGGGTAATGTATAATGTCTCACTCATAAGGCCCTTAACTAGAGTTTGTCATGAAAACCGGTTATACTCGATAAGAAAATCCATAAAATTGTGTAATGCTCGTTCAAACAAGTGATAAATCTCCTGGTAGTGTACACAGTACATAAATGATTTCAAGATAAGAGTTTGATAACTCGTATATGTATGTTTAGTATGAGCTTGAAATACTACAAATGTGGTAACTTTTTATGACATAAGTTTTATAACATATTTTGTCATAAAATCATAATATTTTGTATGAAAAAATCATTTGTTATCTGTACTAGTTGCATTAAAACATATTTATCACTAGTTTATTTGTAAATGACATATTATTTAACAAAATAATATTTATAAAATAGTTTTGAATCCGGTAAGTGTTTGTCAAGATCAATAAATATATATGGCACATGTATTCTCCCCCTAAGCGTAAAAATATTAAAAAGGGGCTGTAGACACTCACCCTTGAAGCGCGAACGAGGATCGAGAGTGAATTTGTCGTGAAAGTCGTTTCGTGACGTTTCATGCCCTTAAAATGAATCACCGGGTCTATTTATATTACCTAATAAACCAAAAATGATAGTTTTGGTATTAATTATTAAGTATGGGGTGGTATTTGTTAAAATACATAAACTTTACGGGTTGAGTTTGCCAAAATCAAACTCCATGGACTGATCTTGCAAACAATTCTCAAAACCAGGGGCTAAATGTGCACGTTTGAAACTGCTTTGGAGCTTCAGGACTTAATTTGCTAGGTTTTCAGGTGGAGGGGCCGGTTCTGTTTAATTTAAATGGGAGTTTGACCTTTCTTGCTGACTTATTTCGCAGCGGGGACTAGAGTTGTAACATTAGGAAATCTCATGGTTAGATTCAATTAAAATTTAACCCACTTTGTACAGTGCGTCGTCTTCTTCCCTCCCTTGATCACATTACAGGGAACAAATGTCGCTAAGTCCAAAAGATCGGGAATCGATCTGAGTTTCTCTCCGTTAGATTTCTGGGGTAATAAAGGCATTTGGATATTCTGAGAATTGTGATTCCACTTTCAAATCAAAGTATTTAGGTGGTACTCCCTAATCTTTGATTGGATAAGACTCAGAAGAAAATAAGAATTATCAAATAATGAGATATGTTAGTTTCGTGAGTACCAAAAAACTGACCAAAATTGGTTAAATACCTTTCTTTGTCTGAAAACTGTCATAAAACTTCCAACAGTCAAAACTGTCATAAAACTTCCAACAGTCAAAACCGTCATAAATTCGGATTTTTCTATATGGTTTAATATAAACTTGGATCCCGCTCGACCCCAGCCAGGGGCTCTGCCCCTTGGACCCCGCTCCCAGGGGCGCTGCCTCTGGACCCTGTTCGTTTAGGGGCTTCGCCCCTAAATGACAGTCTACTTTTAATCTTGAATAAACTTAAACAAGTGTGCACTCCGCACCTTCCTTACTTGTTTAATATTCATCAATATTAACTTTTGATCAACAAGTCAACCCATTACACTTAAATACAATCGGTTAACAAATCACTACCACTCTCTTACTCCCTAACGATGGCAATAAACTCAAAAATAACGGAGATACACGAAGGGGTACCTCTGGTGGCACAAGGTGGTGGGTGGTTGAAGTTCGTCGGCGGCAGCAGGTGCAGACGACAGCGGTGTGGTGGTCAGAATTGATCGGTGGTGAATGTGGACGACCTTGCTGCTTCGTTTTGTTTAACTGATGCTCGACGAGGAACCACAAGGAAGCATTAGCTACATCGGTGTTTGGTGGTGGTGGGTTAACGACAGGGGGAAGGCGGAGGGACTGCCACCATTGGCTGTGATGGTCCTCTTCGCCGGTGAAGTGAGAAATGGAGGAGAGTGACGAGGGTAGGTGGTTCCTGGCAGTCTTCTTCGGTCAATGGAAAAAGAGGAAGAACCATGGTGGTTCATGGTGGTTACACAACAGTAACACCACCATTGGCTTTGTTTTTCTGGTAGCAGCACAAGCGAGTGAAGGGGAGGGAAGAGTCAGCAACAATGACACAATTGTGGGTGCTTGACTTGCTCCGATTATCAGCAAAAGAGGGAGGAAACACGGTGGTCTTAAGCAAGGCAATAGTAATGGTGGTGGTGACTGGTTATCGGTACAGAAGAGGGACGGAGGGGGTTGCTGGTCGAGAATAGTGGCAGATGGTGGTGATACGGTGGAGTAATGGTGTTAATGGTGGGATTGAGGTGAAACTTCAAACCACAAATTCCCTCCTTATATTTCAGCCAAAGAGATGGAAAGGGACTTGTGATTTTAGTCAATAGCTCACATTTGTGGGATAGAGACAATGAATTTTCTAAGATTCGTTTTGCATCGGGTACTAATGGGGAAAGATGATCAGTCTGCATCTTGCGTCTGAGGAAGGAGGAAGAGACATTGTCTTCCTGATTTTGGCACAAATGGTCCCCGCACTTTGATACTCTAACCAACCCCAAACTCGAGTTCCTTATTTAAAAATCATTTTCTGACATTATCGATTTAGACCCTGTATTATTATATCCAATTTATTTTAATAATTTGATTTATGTAGTTATTTCTATAATTAAGGCTTTTATTATTATATACATATATTAAAACTAATCAGGTTTATGAACAGTAAATTTTACCACTTTCAGATTTTAACCACAATAATTTGTATCAATTGACTACTTTCGTCCTTTAAATTTCAACATCGGTCTTCCTCGATAGTATAATCCCACCGCCAACGGTTTTCATATGTTTCTCCTTGAACACCATCCTTCTTCCTTTCCGACTGCCTGCGTTTGACAATTACGAATTCTTTTCCTCCAAGAATTTAGGGCTTGAGTTCCATCTCTTCTGGTTCATAGGGTATTTCAAATGCAATCAATATATTTGATTCTTTGAATTACTACTTATTTCGCTTTTCATCTGTAAGAACACGAAGGTGCATCGAATTTACTTCCACTGGAAATGCCGTCGTCTACCATTTGGAGTTTTATTGTCGACGGTGGAACTTTGCATGGGCGGTGGATGTATTGGTCAATTTTAATTCCTCTGAAGCAAAATCGGGGAACTAACATAACAACGAATGTGATTAAGGTAAGGAATTGTTCGATAGAGGCGAAATTGATGGTCTATTATAACCCTAGAACACTGATGCACAACAATTTTCAACGAAAATCATATACTGGTTTTTGGTGTTGAATACTTCGGTTCTTCATGTGAGCCCTAATATTTTACAATTGTTGCTTTGTTGTTCATGATTTTGGGATTGGGCAGATAATTTGCTCTGTTGATGTTCTTAATTTCGGTGCTCCCTCCACCGCCATCGGTTTTTTTTGGTTGTTGTCGAAGAAACCAAAAATTGAAGATGTGGTGAAGGTGCTCAGTATCTGTATCTGTATCTGAATCCAAATCCACGCCCATCTTGAAGTTTTTAATATCAAGTTTGTGAAAAATTGGCAGTTGGGTGGATGTTGGACGCTTTGGGATCGAGAAGAACGAAATTGAGATTGACAGATTTGATCAGTTTGGGAGATTTCTTGCAAATTATTGATATTGTTAAATATTTCCGGTGATCTTACTCTCCAAAACCAACATTGGGTGGTGTTTTTGGTGGTGACGGTGGATGTATAAGTTTGATGGGTTGTGGTGGTAGAAGGTGGGAATGTTGGAGATGGTGAAGGTGGATGAATGTGTTGAATTGGAATGGAAATGGACTTAGAGACAAATGCACTTATTTGATCAAACTCTAAAGAAGAATAAATTGACAGTGAACGCAAAATTGAGGTACACTCTACTTTCTCAAGCTATTATGTTGAGTATTTATTCCCTGTTTTCAACAATTAACATATGGTTTGAAGATCTTTTACATCAAGAAATGCAAAGGAATGTCCTTTTCATAGTTGTACATAATCTGATCCAGAGCCTGAGGAGGGAATGGAGGAGGTTATTAATAGTGAAACACGTTAGTGTTATGGAATCAGGGCTATTTGATGTGAAGGATGAAAGAAACACTTATACTGTTGGTAATTTATATATTTGTCAATTCTATTTCTGTTTCTCTTGATCAACGATGGATGATAAAGGCTCAAGTTCAAAATGGGCAAAACATGTTAGTCATTTGGGTTCAGTTACATTTTTACGTTGAAGTTTAATTTATATTATTGACAAAATCATAATCTAGAATGCAGGTGCAATATCCACCATACACTGACTTAGATGCCAACGACAATTTGGGTTAGCCACTTTTATTCAGCATGAAACCATAGTTGTACGTGGTATCTGCTATATCATTTTTGTAAGCATTTGTTTCAAGTGGTAAATAAACTTTTTATGAGTATTTAAAATACATATGGCATACACTTCAACCGGCCTAAAGTATGTATATATATGTACTTCATTTAGTGAAACGTCTTATTCGATTAAAGTTTATTTGCAAGCCATTGAAGGATGAAAATGAATCCAACAATCAATTAAATGAATCCAACAATCAAGTGGTAAATAAACTTTTTATGAGTATTTAAAATACATATGGCATACACTTCAACCGGCCTAAAGTATGTATATATATATATGTACTTCATTTAGTGATATGTCTTATTCGATTAAAGTTTATTTGCAAGCCATTGAAGGATGAAAATGAATCCAACAATCAATTAGATCGCAAAGGAAAACGAAGAGGACGTTTTGGAATCAATAGTGTTGACTGAGGTAGGTTCTTAACTTATATGTCTAACAAATTTGCCCGTCAGTTTTGACTCTTGAGTCTTGACCCCTCCATATAGAAAACACAAAGACCAACCAAATTACATAATATGATCCGTAGACTATTGATTATTTTTCAATATTAGTCCTCTCATTTAACATGTTAACCTTTGCAGCCCCTAAATGAAATTGTCTATGTCAACTTTGTCAATCATCAATTGCATAAACACATATGAATCAAAAACTCATCGCACGTTATCCATGAGCAAAAGTGATTTGTTTAACTATATTTATCTTGACTGGTTTTATTTGATGCCTTTGATTTTTTGGGCTTTGACACCTTTGAATCGGTGAAGGAAATTTGTATTAAAATATCAAATTCTATTTTTGAAGATAAGAATTTTCTGCAAAAACACGAAAGCCCATCAATATTTACAACAAACATTTATTAACAAAGGCCATTTAGATAAAAGAAAAAAACAAATAAAAAACCTGTCCCGTGGTTCACCACGAGATCACCACCTCGTTATTATTATTTATTAATCCTATTTTAAAATCATTAAGCGGGATCGGACGTTTGAAGTTTCTCGTCAACCGGGTTCCGATTCGTCGGTTTTCACAAATCTGATTTTGGTTCGGGATAAAAAAAATATCGGAATAGTAAAATTAAATACTAGACTGAAACCTGAGTTTAGAAACGTTCTCAAAATTAATTTATGAGATGTGTAGCTACTTTAAACTTAGCAGTGTAGTGTCCGGTACCGAATAAAATCAGGTATATACCTGTTTAAAAGCTTAAAACATGTATAACTTTCTCATACGATCTCCGTTTTGGACGTTTTTTTTATATCCACATAATCCTGAGAACATGTTCTATCCAATTTTATCATCCATAGTCCCCATACAGGTCAAATCCAAAAATTTGATTTGTAGGACATAAGGTCTCACTGATTTTTGAACGATTTCCTGTTTGATGACGATGGTCTATATTTCAAGCGTTTTGAGGTATCACGAAGGCACTTATGAGAAATATGATCTCATTTGTACTTAAAATGTAACATCCAGATTCTCAGGTATCCTATTTTAAGTATTTTATATTGAGTTTTAGAGGGGGGACTCGGCGAGTAGGCGCCTAGACTCGCCGAGTTGGATCGCGATGTGTTAGCCTGATTTAATGAAGGACTCGGCGAGTCCACGCTGTTTAATGTAACCCTAATTCCTCGGGTTTGGGACCTATTTAAGGACCCTTATAGCCACCATTTGCGGCTACCAGACCCTTGAGAGAACCCTATTAGTGCTTGAGCGTTTGAGAGAGAGAAGAAGCCATTACTGGACCTTTGTGGGTTGATTTTGCAAGAAGAAGTTGATTCCAGCTTAGAGGAGGCCAAGGAGGTTGCACATATGTGGTTTTCAAGTAAAGGGCATCATCTTTGAGGTAGCATATCGATCCTCTTTCTGTTTTGATAAAGAATCCATGGATCTAGGGTTTTCTATACCCTTTATTGGGATGATTTGTTGGAGATATGGTCCCTTATCATGTTTAGGCTTCAGATCTGGACCCATAGTGGTCCAGAGGACCTTATCCATCTTGCTTTATGATGAGATATGAAAGAAATGGACTTAGGATGTTGTATTTGGGGCTAAATCATCAAGTAGAGTCATTTGGACGTTACATGAGTATCAAGTTCGAACCTTTACGTGTTTATTGAGCTTGGGAAGGTTAGATCTATGGATTAGAAGAACAGATCTGACCTCAGAAGGTCATTTGAGTGTGAGCATGGAATGAACTAGCCGAGTCCATGAGCAGACTCGACGAGTCGAGTCGGGTTGCCCCGCGACTCGCGACCTGTGACGACCCGTGGAGTATAAGGTTGACTCAGCGAGTCAAGGGAGGACCAGGGGCGTAGAGGGCAGGCGTGTACTCGCCGAGTCACCCCTAGTGCACTCGGCGAGTCGGGTCAAAGTTGACCATTGACCTTCGTTGACTTTAGGGTTCTGGTCAAGGCTAATTCAGGAGAGTTCAGGGAAGGGTAGAATGGCCTTCTACCCAGTCTGTAGAGATGAGATCATGAGAGAGTATTGATCGGGAATGTTATTTGAATAATAGGAGGAGGCTAAGTCGGGACGTTGAGCACGAGAGGTTATCCGACTTCATTGAGGTGAGTTTTCTCACTATACTGTACCTGGAAGGGGTGGAAGGTACCTATGTGTGACCGGAAGGTCTTGTATGCTATGATGTATGTGCTATATGCGGTTATGTGATATGTATGTGTTATGTATGCTATGAATGATACGGACCGAAGTCAAGATGATATGTATGTATGTGCTATGTATGTTACGTAATGGTAAGTACCGAAAGGTCGAGATGATATGGGCGGAAGGTCAAGAGGGTACGGACCGGAAGGTCTACCAGGATTTGGGAACGGAAGTCCCCTGAGAACAAACGGATCGGAAGATCCTATAGAGTTTGTGACTGGAAAGGTATGTGGGGGTAGAGGTATTTGGGGAAGCTCACTAAGCGTTTATGCTTACAGTGTGTTGTGTGATGTGTGGGTTCAGGTACTAGCGAGGATCGCGGGAAGGCGCCGGCCTGATCCGTACACACTTATGGAGTTTATGATATCGAGATCTTGGGACATGTTTTGTTATGTTACAGTGGACACATTATTTTTTCTGATTATCGTGGAATGAATGAATGTTTTTTAAATGAAAATTGTTTTGAAAAATTACGTTGTTACAAGTTGGTATCAGAGCCTTGGTTTGAGGGATTCGGGTGCATTTCGGATGAATCAGACTCAAACTGAGGAATTAAGGAAGTTTTTTCATAAAATAAACAATTTTTCTAAAAGAGTAAAAAGATTTGAGAAGGCAGAAGGAACAGTGTGTACGATCAGCCACGCCGAACGGTGATTTTCCCAAAATACCCTTACATTATGTATGATGAGACTGTTATGATATGATATGCATGCTAAGTTGGCTAGGTATTCATATTAGGACTAGGTGGCCTGATTTTGTGATGCTTTAGCCTAGGAAGGATTTTGCTGCTATGTGATGCTTGAGAGCGAGTAGGTAGCAGTGAGGAGC